AAACAAATTTTATAACCAAATGTGAAAAAAAAAATCACTTTAATGGACAATTTTCATGTAAAACAAAGCCAAACGAATAGAAAATTTAAAAATTTTTCGGGTGGAAAATTATACCAATTAAACACACTTGAAATCATTTTCCCTACAAAATATTTTCTAGACATCCTATAAAACATTTTCTTTTCACCCATTTTCCACTATTGCAATCAAACGTACCCTTAGAAAAAAGAGGACATGAATACTCACTAAAATAATTGCCTAGACCACATGTTGCTCGTGCTATAAGTACTTTGAGTAGGTTTTCGGCAAATCTTGGTCATGAACATTGGACTACCTTAAAATGGTTATTAAGATACTTAAAATGATATTCTAATTTAGGTTTGTGTTTCAAACCTTGTAAAGAAGGAGTCATCCTGAGAGGATATGTAGATTCTAATTACGCTGGTGACAGAGATAACAGGAAATCAACTACAACTTATATGTTACTTTGTGTGATACTTGTATAAGTTGGAAGCCTCAATTGCAATCTATTGTTGCCTTATTTACAATAGAAGCAAAATATGTTGCTGCTATTGAAGTCATTAAAGGATCTTTATGGTTTAAATGTTTGTTATGTGAGTTAAATGAACTTGTAAATTTAGTAAGAGTTTATTCGGATAATCAAAGTGCCATCCATTTTTGTAAAAAACATGTTTTCAAGAAAGAACTAAACACTGCACTTCGTTAGAGATATAATTCAAAAAGGAATCTATATTACTTAAGAAAATCCCCACACAATTCAATCTTGTTGACATTGGAACCAAGGTACTTCCTCTCAACAAGTTTAAATCATGTTTACAAATGCTAAGAATTGAGCTATCTCAATTATTGTTGGGGAATAAATAGAATTTTAGAAATCCCGAACAATTAAACTTTGGCAGATCTTGTCAATTTTAGAATGGAAGTAGTTATCCACACATATCTTTTCATTTGGGTTCCAAGCACTTAGAATGGATACAAAATTGTATTTGGATCATTTTTGATAGATCGACAAAGACTACAGGATTCTTTTCAAATGATATAATAGGTTCACAAGGTAGATTTATAAAATTATATAGATAAAATTGTTACTTATATGGTGAAGTTTGAGTATTTTGTGATAGGGAGTTATGGAATTAAATTACATTTTTTCAAATTTTTTTTTTTAATAGAATGCTAGAGATTATGAAGACGGGTTTAGTAGATATGTTATCAATGTATAGGTAGATATTTAGAGGGGACCGAGATATTATTGAAGCAAAAGTTGGAAAAAATGTTATTAAGGTGGGTTGGAGAAATCATTCAAGAAGAGGGATTATGGAAGATTAAATTTGTGCATTATGTCTTTTATTGGTTCGAATCCTAGTTGATTAAATTTTGAGGACGAAATTCTTTAAATCGAGTAAGGTTGTTACACCTCATTCTTTTATAGTAGTCAATGAATTATTTAATTAAATTCAAATGTTCGACTAGTCAAAGTCAAAATCAATTAGGACCTTAAATGAAATAAATCATTTTATTGGGGTTTATTTTATAATGGACAATACTTGAAGGTTTAAGATGGACATTATTTAATTTTGGGGATGTCCTTATCTATTATTAGAAGTTGAATGCCCAAGTGTTTTATAGAATAGAATGTGAAGGACTTGGTTGAAAAGTGGAATTAGTGCTCCATTATCTAGAAACTACCTAACCTATTTTATCCACAAACCAGAGGCTGGAACCGATACAGAAAGCTGAAACGGGAAAGCTGGGAAGAAAAGAAAGGAAATAAGGGAAAAATAAAATAAGGGAAGGGAAGGAAAAAAAGTATAAGGTTTTTCATTTCTTCTATTCCAAGAGGTAAGAAAACAAATTGTTGTTCAACATTGTTAAATTTGGGTTGTAATTAGTTGCTTAATTTTAAAGATTTGGAAAAGATAATAGATATTGGATTTGAATATATACATTGAAGAAATATGAAATGGGTTTATGAATTAGAACTTCAATCTTTAAATCTATTGTGTTTATATTAGATAAAACAGTTGATTTTATGAGGTATTAGAGTGGAATAAGGATTTTAGGTTTGATTTTGGTATTTTAACTCATTTTCTTCAATTTTCGTACAAAATTATCACCCTGTTGCTACTTTTAAAAGTCTGCACAGAAAGTGCTGTTTCTGTCAATGGTTTTAGTGACTGTTTTGAATATACAGAAACTGGTGTCACAATTCAATACTCTAGGATTTTTGTGCTGTTTTTGTGAAATCTTTGATTTTCAGATTTTAAATGTTTGAATGAAGTTATATGATAAATATTGAAGTCTAGGTATTAAATTAATGTATGTATAGGTTATATATGTATAAGTTAGTGATTGTATGAAAGTATAGTGATTTAATGGATTTGATCACGTGGTGATTTGTTGGTAAATAGTTAAAGAGAAGAAAAGTTGTGGAAATAGAGATGCAAGAATAAGTATAGAAGTTGCTGAGTTAAGTGGTGGATTTGTATTAATTTAATTGTCAGGTTATAATTTGTATAATTATATCGTTATTTCAGGCAGTGAAGTGAAAGTTTGGAAAGACCGGTCAGTTTATTCAGATTTCTATCCATTAATCTGTGAGTGAAAAAACTTAAATAATTTTCAAGTATTGATAAATTAATTGTACTATTATACATTTTATGCAATTATGTGAATTATTTATCTAATTACATGATTAATGGGAAATCTTATTTCATTATGATATCTGCTGAATTTTAAAGATTGTATATGAATTATTTGTGAATTGGAATATGAAACATATGTGATATTGAAATCGAGCAGAAAAAAGTATCCGCGATTATATACTTATTTTAGTTCAGTAAGGGACCTGACTGTGTTTTATACTACATTGAGGGGTCTTGACTGTGGATGAATGGGTCTTGACTGTGTACATATGGTTCACTGAGGGGCCTTTGCCGTATTCTAGAATTGATTATGAATGAGACTACTTCCGTTCACTGAGAGGGCCTGAAGCTTGTGTCGAGAGTGCTTAGCCAAGAGACAGTCTATGCGCGTATGACCAGATTACAGATTTCAATGAGGGGGTACATTTTTGGGAGATTTTTCGATACATTTGATATGATGTCATGGATTTCATTTGATGATTTTATCATGATTACGAGAATGATTCATGTCTTGATTATTAATATCTGATATTATATTGTGAATTGATAAATAATACGAATTCGATTTTCGATAAATATGTGTAAACGATAAAGTATAATTATTTTCAAATTTTCTACTAACTGACCTATCAACTCATATATTTACCCCCGATTATTCTTACAGGTAGTAATTAGTTTTTTATAACTGGAGGAGCTTTGATGATTTCAAAGTGATGTCCTCATGACATATTTAGTGATACGATTCATTTGATAAAGCACGATATAATTATTTTGGGCCCATTGCATTATTTGTTCATAAGTATCTTATTTGACGTATATTTAGTAGTAATTTATAGTCTGCCTTGGTGGTGGATCTGACATTTAGTTAACATCTATCATCGGCACACGTCATGTTTCAGGTCCACAAAGGTGATCTGGGACGGGTCGTGTCAGATGATCATGGAGGATCCGATGCTAAGATTTTTGAAAGGTTCATTTTTTTTCAATTTTGATCATTGGCATCAAAGGGGAGATTTGTTGGGGGCAGTCCATTGGGCAATGATGAAATATGGGCTTCACTCATTTGGTTATTAATCAATTGCCCGATAACACAAAATGAAATGGCCCAAACCTGAGTCCAACAGAAGGTGACATGTGTGTTGTTCTGGACCGTTTGATCGCTCACTTGAAATCAATGATGATGAGGGGCTATATTTAAAAGGACTTGAGTGGTTGCCCTACTTGATCTTTTCATCTGGTTTTCGATAGTCTTCTGGAATCTCTCTCTCTCTCTTTGAGTCTCTTCCCACTCCCTTTTTTTCGTGTACTTTGTGGAATTTCCTAGATCTCTGGTTTTGGGGTGAATCTTTATGTATATAGAGTCTGTGATTCTTAGATTAGGGGTTTAGGGTTGAGATCAATTTGTTTGGTCATGGTCCATTGGAGTAGTTGCGTTGTACGCTTTCGAGAGTTAGGGTTATGTGGATTTTCCTTTTGTACAGGGTACATTGGTGTTTAGAGCCCAAAAAACCATTGATTCTTTGATGCCGATGATTCGTTATTGATGTTTTAATTCTTGAGGGATAATTTGTGTTCATGTGTATTTTTGAGTTCGAATTATAACACACTCATCTGCACACTTTGCCTAATTTGTGTTGTCAGCTCACAGCATTTTAAAAAAAATATTATGGTTAGAATTAACGGAAAATGACGATTCGGGTTTCAGTCCAGTAATTACATGGACCCAAATGATTTCATTAAGAAATACTCAAAGAGTGAGAAACAGAAGCATTTTCTGTTTGTACATGGAGCATGCCACGGTGCATGGTGTTGGTACAAAGTAGTGACTCTTCTAAGGTCCAAAGGCCACCGAGTCACAGCCCTTGACATGGCGGCTGCAGGCGTTCATCCTAAGCCTTTGGAGGAGCTAGCCTCCTTCTCCGACTACTGCAACCCTTTGCTGGAATTTTTGGCAGCTTTGAAGTCAGACGAGGGGGTGATTCTGGTTGGCCATAGCCTTGGTGGACTTTGCATATCTCTTGCCATGGAAAGGTTCCCTCAAAAAATTGAAGTTGCTGTTTTCATCTCATCCTTCATGCTTGGTCCTGATATTGACAGTTTTCCCATTCGTCAAGAGAGGTGATGACTTGAAAATCCTCTTCACTTTCTTTCTTATTGAGAGAACGCAAGTGTAAATTATTGACTGTTATTTACCCCTATTGGCTATAATGCATTGAATCTTGGACGCTAATATTACAATTCTTGGCTTATATACAGTTCAACAAACAGCTGGATTACATGGACAGCCAATTAACATTCGAAAATGGAGTGGACAAACTTCCCACCTCCCTCCTCTTTGGCCCCAAGTTTTTATCTAGTCAGTTATATCTGTTGTCCCCTCCCGAGGTTAGAATACCAACAATTACCAAGTTATGATGCATTTGATTATAGATAAAAACTATCAAATAACAAATTAACGATTTTGTATTTATCATTTTGTTTGAATTTGACAATCTCATGACTCCAAGATTATTTGGTCTCGTTATTGCTCATTTGATCATCATCATTTTTGTTGCCAAGTTTATAATGTTTCTAACAAATATGCTGTATTTNNTGTTTCTAACAAATATGCTGTATTTGAAAATTGAAATACCCAGATAGTCTAGCAACTAATTTTTGAATTCGATTTGTAACAGGATTTGGCTCTTGCAAACTTGTTGATGAGACCAGTAGTTTCCTACGATGGAACAGAAATTGAGAAAGAAATGGCTCTTTCAAAAGAAAACTATGGTTCGGTTCCGCGTGTTTATTTGATTTGTGAAAATGATATTATTATAAAGCAAAGACTTCAGAATTGGACGATTGAAAATAATCCATGTGATGAGGTGAAAATGATTTCTGGTGCAGATCACATGGCTATGTTCTCTAAACCCCGAGAACTGTGTTCCTTCCTGCAAGAGATAGCAGAAAAATACTGATTCCTATACCAATTTCTTTCTTCACTTTTTTTTAGGATGTAAGTTCCTGATTTGAGGTCACATTATAGTCTGATTGTCATGTTGTCTTCGCCTGTGACTTAAGAAGAAACTGTTGATTGAATTGTGCATCTTGTTCTTGTTTTTTTTTTTTTGACAATAATGCAACTTGTACATGTAGAAGTCAAGTCATCACCGGCTTTGAAGAAGAACTCTTAAGAGTATTCTGGGTTTTTCACCAACGCAGCAACCCTGCTTCTTCCCCCTTCACAACTGACATTTGTAGAATAATCTAGAAACTATGTTGAAAGCTGCATGAGCGTGTGAAAAAGAGACAGAAAGAGTAAACATTGAGAGACAGTGGAATATCGAGACCATTTTTTTTGTGGGGT